AGAGCCGAGGCCAGAGGCGGATGCACGCGTTTGGCATCGCTTTGGGACAGAGGCCCGGCGTCATCAGCCACTGCGGTGAAGGGAGTGGAGCTGGGCCGTCGCAGCGCAAGGCGGCGATGTGTTGGCAGCAGTTCATTGCTGCTTGCGCCGTTTGCGTCATCGCGACGGGTTTGTGTGCCATGGCGATTGCGCTGAGGCATTTCCTGCCGTGTTTGCATCGCTGCTGCATCACGGCACCGCGACGACCGGCTAGGCTGCAAATGAGGGCGTCGCGTGCTGAGCAGCTGAGATTACGAGCGTCGCAGCAGCCGTCGAGGGGGTCGGCCGCAAATATAGCCACGAAAAGCACGGTGAAGGCACAAAATAACCCTTCCTGGCATGGCGTCGCCTCCACGTCCAATGGCGCGGCAGGCAATGGGAAGACGCGTCCTTGGCTCCCAGTCGGCCGGTCCCTTCATCTCAACATAGCTGGGAGGCAGAATGAGGGGGTGTAGCAGGCAGTCTGCGACTCTGGCGCTACCAGCGTACCATGGCACGGAGCGTTCGAGAGCAAACGCGCCTAGTGTGAAAGAAAAGGAGACGCCGTGTGTCGCAGCAGCTGGTCGCGTCGCAATCAGCGTGAACAGCCTCAGCGCGCGCAGGGAGTGGGCGGGTTACAGAGGGCCATTTACCGCTGCGCCAGGCATGGCGGCAGGCCGTGTTGGCATGCCTGTAGCCTTGGAGCCATGCGTGATGATGGAGCGTCTCACGCCTCACGAGATGGGGGGACAGCACCCGCAACTGCTTCACGCAACAGCGGTGCGGTGGGGGCAAGAAAGCGACGTCGCTGCCCAAGCAACGCAGCTGCAAATCACGCACTGCCATGTCTGGCTGATGGCAAATAAAAAAAAGCCAGCGCGATGAGTCTTCCAAGGTTGGGTTGTGTGGCAAAGAGGCAAGCTGGCCAGTGCGCCCGGGTGCGATGACTGGACTGGGGGCGCTGTAGGTACGGGGTTCCTATTAGTATCGCCAGCGCCGCCCAGCCCGTCACCCTCATCAAGACAGCAGCAATGGACTTCACGAACATCTACAGCGCCCCCTGCGGCCTAATCTAGGACGCCAACCGCGAATAGTGTCGTCTGTTCTCTGTCGCCTACCCGTCTACCTACCCAAACCGACCCATTCCATCTTTGTCCAGGTAGCAGTCTCCGCATCGACCTTTGTCGCCGCCACACTGCCGCCTACCGCATAGACTCATCTCGCGCTTCCAGTCATCGTCGAGACGAGAGAGCCTGTCCTTTTATACCTCCTCGTCCCGTACCTGCGTCGCGATCCGACGCCCTCTAGTCGCGCCTTCCCACCTTTACCGACTTCCCGACCGCCACTTCCTCACACGTCAGACCTACACCTCCCAACTCCACCACCAACAGCTCTTATGTACACCAACCCCCAATAATAATAAAACAAACACCTGCAACAAACAAACACTCAAACACCCCATCGCACTCCCCGCGAACACGCGAAGTCGCTCAGCTTGGTGATCCCGTCAAGGTAGTCACCATCCTCGAACGCTTCCCACGTCGCACCTCATCACCACAATGTGCCATTCGGCCTACACTACTTCAGTCACTCGTCGCTCAGAATTCACCACCATTTCCGAAACCAAAGCCTTCGCCCAAGGCTTCGCTTGCTAGACCCCCGCATCCCCTCAGACATCCAGCTCTTGCGACAGCGCCCGCTGTTCAGTAGCTGTATCATCAGAGTGCTTCGCGGACGGTCTTCTACCACGGTCTTGTTTCGGTGATTCTGCAGTTGACAGTGACTGGAGCCCGCTCTAGTCTGCACCTGGCAGCTTTTCGACCACTTGACACTGCTCGAATCCTACTTCCACTTGCGACTCGTCAAACCCTACCAACCTCCTACGTATACGTTCCGCCTTCGAAACCTACCCTCTCCCAGCTCTTCAGACCGTTAGACCGCTTCCGTCACACCACGATCACACACGATCAGGCCACTTGACGGACGAGATTTCGCGATCGAGGAAAAGATCCCAACAAGGGAACAGCGTCTCGAATTATACGTCAGAGGTCACAGGGTTGTCCTCTACGGTTTGTCCCATCGGTTAAGTTCTCGGTCACCCCACGACCACCCGATCACGCTCTGCGCCACCCCTCCAGGTCTACCTAACGGTCAGCACTTCGAGACGTAACGACAAAGCCTAGTCCCATCTCCGCTCACTCCTTATTGTCTACCTTTCCTTACCAGGCCCCGTCCTGTATACCCCTCCTTCACCATGAGTCTTGCCATTCCTCTCCCTAGCCACGGCTACATGGCTGAGACCCACCCTTATGCCGCTCCTCTTTCTTCTTCCGCTTCCTCTTCCACCTCCTCAGTATTCTCAGACGCTGCGTCACAAGCGTCAAGCGCAAGCTCCACATCGTCTCACTCAAACTGGGACTCAGAAGAATGGAGTCGCAACCAAGTGGCACCGCCGACAATTGTCGACCCTGTGAGCTTGTCAGCTTTCCAGCCCATCAGCCGAGTTAGCACATATCCTCAGTACCAGTCTACGGTGTGCCGAGAGCCTGTACAGGAGAGATTACCTTCCCTGCGCACTGAGCTGTTGGCACCTCTGGAGCAGCGACAGAATCCTCGCCGATCGTCGACCACTGTCAACCAGAAGCCCCCACCTCAATTGGTACGGCAATCCGACCGAAAGGTCAACTTCGTCGATTGCCTCGTCGGTTAGTACACGTTTTATCCCTGGACCATGGTTCCCCCGCTGATTATTCCTCCTTAAGATTCCGCTACTCAGATGGTCGAGGTCATCTGGCAACTTTCAGAGCCCAAGAGCCGTTGTGAGAATGCTTCTGGACGTGGAGTGCTTCCTCTCCGCATGTTCATCCAGGAGACCCTCCGTCGCTCTCGCACCAGCTACTCTACTCTCCAAGTTGCCTTGTACTACTTGATCTTGATCAAGCCTCACCTGCCCAAGCACGACTTCACCATGTCCCAGCCTGAAGACGCATCTCTTCGTGCGCTGCAATGTGGTCGTCGCATGTTCCTTGCTGCGCTTATCCTCGCATCCAAGTACTTACAGGACCGCAACTACTCGGCTCGCGCATGGAGCAAGATCTCTGGTCTCAAGGTTTGCGAAATCAACACCAACGAGATGGCTTTCCTCGAAGCTGTCAACTGGAAACTGCACATCGTTGATTCGGTATGGGAGAAGTGGCAAGAAGTCGTCCTGCGACACACGCCTACCCTTCCTCCGCCATCACCTGGCGCTAGCATCCCCAACACTTGGAAAGATGTCATTCCTATTTTGACACCTGAGTTGGATATCGTCCAGTTGGCTCCCAAGAAGTCAGCAAACGCTCCCGTACGTCCTCCTCTCAGGCCTCAGTTGAACGCGTCGCCCTACCGCTGCCCATCGATGGATGGCTACGGATCGCAAGAGAGCACACCAACTCCATCTCGCTATCAAGTGCCTCGCTTCCTGGAGCCGAAGCCTGATCTTCCCCACACTCCGTCACTGCCATCCCTGGCTCGCTTGGGTCCACTACCAACCCCATCCTTGACCCCGCAATCCATCACCAGCAACACTCCTGCAGCGAGTGCCATGGCTTTCGGATCGCGCCGCCCATCGATGTGCACGGCAATGCAACAGGCACAGTGCTCCTCACTGGCACGCACCTGTGTAGACCAGTTCAACCCAAGCATCAGGAACGGACTGGAAGCTTACCACTTCCCAAGCCGACGACCTTCCCTGGCTCCTTCCAACTCATCTCTATCGTCCTCTCCAGAGTCAATGATCTCGGACAACTCGCGCACTTCTCGTGCTTCATCAATCTCGTCGGTCTCGTCTGCCGGCTGGGCGCCAAACCAAAGCCAGGCCAGCTTGGCTCGGTTGGCGACCTGCCGCAGCGCGAAGCTCCCGTACCCGGTTTTGTCGAAGTGCAAGGAGCAGTACGAGTATGCTCCAAGTGAGCCCATGTCCTCACCCGATCTGGACAGCTTCCATATTGATGATTCGGATTCGTCGCCAGGCAAGGTCGACAGCCCTGCGTGCGTAACTCCCGCAAGCCGCAAGCGTGGAAGGTCTTCAGTTGATCTCCAGCAGAATGTGCGACACTTGCTTCACAGCACTCGCTCCGCATTCGACCTTCGTGGTCAGAAGCCTGTGCTTCCTGATAGATCAGTGTCGCAATCATTCGCCCTCTCGCGCAGTGAACCAAAGGGGCTGCAGTCCCCTAAGAACACTGTTCCTTATTGCTCGCGTCTTCCTATCCAGAAGGACTTTGGCAAGAAAAGGTCGTGCTGCAGCACCGAGGTCGCGCAAGCCTACCGCCCACAAGGCCCAGGCATGTGGGCTGGCATCCTCTAAACATGACAACATCGTCATCACAGTATTGAAAGCCCAAAGAAGGCTAAAGAACAAAGAAAGAGAAGGAAGTATCAACGCAACTATTCACTGTTCGTATTTCACACACACAGTCACACTCTACATTACCGTGTATATTTTCCTTCACCACCTCCGAACCTACCACGTGTGTATTCTCCTTTGGGCGTCACAACAGATCTCATTTGCTACTTAGCTCCGGTATACCTATTTGGGTTACTTTTGGCGTTTTCAACCTTACTACCAACTGGCGTTTATATCTTTTCAAGGACAGCTCGGTTTGAGCGAAAGGTGGGGGAAATACCTTGATCACAGGCAGGTGCATTAGCATGGGTTCAACAGGATCAGGCGTAGTTTGCGTTCGCACGCACATGCGCCCCTTTAGTCGGGATGGATGTACGTTTACGCTACGGCGACGGTTGACGTGCTGTGGTATGGTTTATATCCAGTGAGTAGGTAGTGAGTAGTAAGCAGATGTTGATGATTCTAAACCTTCCCTCGCTGCCTGTGTGTATGTGATGTGGTGGTGTGGTTTGATTTCTCATGCTTTGGGTGTCTATGCTGACTGTACTTTAGGCCTTTGTATCATGTGCCTCAACTCGAAATCGGATGACCTTCACTAGATCTTCCTAGTATCATTAACATGCACCTCCCTACCCTTCTCCCCAACCTTCCCCATCGCCCTAGCAACCGTAACACTCTCCCTCAACGCCTTCCCCAACACACCCCTCACCCCACCTTCCTCCAGCACCATAACCCCCGCAATCGTACACCCCTCCGGACTCGTTCCCATATCTCTCAACTCACCCGGCTGTATCCCACTCTGAAGCATCTCCGCACTGCCCCTCATACTCTGGTAGATCTGCTCCTGAGCCAGCTTTCGCGGTAGACCCACAGCTACGGCAGCGTCGATGAGGCTGTCGACGATGATGGCCCAGAATGCGGGTGTAGAGCCTGCTACAGCTGTTGTGGCGGGCATCAGGGCGGGTGGGATGGACATGGGTTTCCCGATTTGCGTGAAGATGGCTGTTGCTATGTCTTTGAATTGCGGTGGGAATAAAGGTGAGGGATGGTCTTCGATAGCGGTCATAGACTGTGAAACGAGCGCTGCTACGTTGGGGAGGGTACGCAAGACCCATGCTCTAGGTTGATTTGGAAACTGTTTATCACGTAAGTCGCTCTCGGCGCTGATCAGCTCTTCGATAGCTGGACGTGTCCAGCCTGCTACTATACTGATTAGTAGTTTCCCCTTTAATCCTTGGTCGATGTCGCTATCGTCGTCCAGTATTGCTTCTACTTGTGAGGGGTCGACGCCGAGGATGATCACGTTGGAGCTTTTGATAGCGTTGACGTTGTCGTTTCTCATGATACGTAGGTTCTCGTGCATCGGGAAACGATCTTTGAGTCTTCTTTCGGAAGATTCGCTTTTGACGCAGGCGATGAATTGGGTGATACCGCAGAGAGAATCTGAAGGAGCATTGAGGAGGCTGTGCAGGATGGGGGTACCGAGATTGCCTATTCAATAATAGTTTTAGAGTTGCTATCCGAGAATTGTCATTGTTCTTGATGGAAGTCACTTACCACATCCTAACATGCACAGTGTCTGGTCTGACATGGTTGGTGGCGAGGGTGTTACCGCTGGCGACTCAGGAAGCGCCTCTTGTAGCAATTCGCTCAACGGCCCTTCTTATTGTTCTGATTCTTTGGGGAGGTTTAAAACGACTTCAGCGCATTGTTCTGAGTTTTTCTCGCTCTGATCATCGGGTTGGATAGATACGTATGATGGGTCTCGGAAAGGAAACCGGTCCCCACTTTTCTTCGCGCCGCCGTCAGCGGGGAAAGCGATTGCGGAGACCCACCTTCGCGCCTGCATCTCTTCTGCATCCGAACGCGCTCTTGCCAAAGATAACACGGAGAGGTCGACAGTAACCGACTATTTACGAATAGGGAGTTATTGTAATTGAGTGCGGCTACGAAACAGAGGATGTGACCGATACGTCATGCCTTGCGATAATGCATGGTTCAAGCACCTCTACCTAGGTACTCTCAATCAAGTCGACCACCACTCATATCATAGGTATAGTCTCACTACTTTCTATCAAGCCCAGAAGAATCTCCTTCTAACTTCCCTCTTCAACGCCGTGAACTCATCCTTAGTCCTTAACACGGCATCGCGATTCTCCACAGCCCTCCGAAGTAGATACCCCACACATTCGCCCATACTACCCCAAGTGGTGCATTTCAACACCTCAGGCGCCTTGCCACCTGCCCCCTTCTCCGCTAACAGGGAAAAGCTGACTTCATCTGACATGCCGTGAAGCTGTCCGTAAGCGACGGGAACAGTAGGGAGACCGGCTTCCGAGCGCTGTCGGTGGAGCTTGTGGGCCGAGAGCACGCTTTCGCGGTTGTGAGATGCGAGGAAAAGGTTTACAGAAGGGAACCGGCGGGCAGATGATCCAGATGCTCCGAAACTGCCTATTTGCTGACGAAGCGCACCCTGCGCTATCGTATTGTAGGCGTTATCTGTGTCTTCTTTGGTGTCATGGATCAAGGAGCGGTTGTCGGAAAGGATGTATGCACCACGCACGAGTTTGAGACCAAGAGTAAACCCGTCTCTTTCTGCCTCGGTCATATGTTGTGCGAGAACTGTGGGAGTGTCTTTGAGGTAGGCTTGGTATGTGTTGTAGATGACAGCTTTACCATTGCGGTTGAACTTGCGCATTAGTTCGAGTGTCGTGCGAGCGATGCCTGCTTGCCAGTACTGAGACTCAGCGTCGATGATGATCTGGACATTGCGTGCTTTGCATTGGGTCGCTATCTCATCCAGGGCGTCAAGCATTTGCTGGGGTGGAAGCTCGCCTTTGCTGAATGCTGATGAGACGGCTGGACCACCGCCTGTCGTTCTAGAAGATGTCAGTGATACATTCAGTAAGTCATCGTAATTATACCTACTTCAGAGCTAAGATGTCTCCCTCGGAGATGAGATCAAGTGTTCCTAGTGTGCCTACCCTCCATGCCTCGACGTCTGCATCATGCGCCATACTAGTCTTTTTATCGACAAAGCTATCCGAGGTATGATGGTTTGCAGACTTGGTTTTGTGATCAAACACCATCTCCTTCGCATACGTCAAGATCACCCCTTTGAATCCCAAATCCTTCAGCTGCTTTACACAAGCTCGTGTCTCTTGTTGTGTTTCTCCGGCGCAAAACTGATTATATAGGGTTCTCTTCAAAACAGCCTTCAGTACAGGGTTTCGATCTATATTGAACAACAGGCTTCGATTCGGTTTCGAGAAGAAGGAGAGCAGGTTGAGTGATGGTATCAGAAGGAACTTGTTAGACGATATTGTGGCGACGAAGAGCGAACGGAGCAACATGTGCGTCGGCATTGCTGATAGCGGGTATTGTGTGGGTGACGGGTTTGATATTTGTGTAGCCGAAGCCTTCATCCGTGGCAGTGCAGTTGTAGAGCTGAGACGCGTCTCGAACGTGTTGAAGCCATTGAGGAGGCATTTCTTACTGGCCACACATCGCAGTGTTGATCTTGTAAGCCGTTGTCGAAGCATCATGAATTCAATGTGAGGTGGCGAGACTAATAAAGCCAGCCAAAGATGAAAGAGTGTTTCAAGATAGGCAATTGAAGCTGATATGTAGAGTGCTCCTACAACTCTACCTCTTCATCGCCTTCCTTATCTCAAAACGTATCTCTACCATATGATGCACGACCCCGCTCCACGTCTCGAACGTGGGGCATCGCCATGCTCGTGACTATCGCGTCTAGGTCCATAGCTCGGACGTGCAGCCGAATCGCGTGGAAAGTCCGGATGTGGTCGGCACTACCAATAGTATAATGCGAGAGGCGAAGTGATAAGCAGAACGAGACCAATGGTAAGTATGACCGAACGCGAAATCCCTCTGGAAGTAGGCCAATGCGGGGTTGATTGTCGATGCGGCTTGGATCGGGTTATGCATGACGATGTCGGCGTAATATAAGAGCGAAGCTACCTTTGAAGTATTACGTTTGTGAACATTCTTATGATTCGCTCGTATGCGCAAGGAGGCATGCCTTGTCTCGATACATGATCTCGTTGCAGCGTCCTGGAAACATGCCTGGACAAAGCGCACGTCTTCCACCTAGTTAGAGAAGTACGTTGGCAAAGCGTCTTGACAGAAGATGAATGAGGCTGGCAAGTGTTCGGTCATCCTATCCATCCATGTGGCAACTATACTATCAAGCTTATCGTTGGGTGTATATGGGGTGCATAAAGCTTCGATATGTAGGACACAGCTTCGTTGCGAAGAACAACCGTGGCCGTCGGAACGAGTTCGAGAAGTATGTCTCAGACGCGTATAGCAAGAAAACACTGTCTGAGAGTGCTCATTTGACTACATTTCTAGCATGCCGTTAGAAGATGATACCCAATGTACGAAGAAGGACTTGCTAGAGGCCGTCAATGTGGGATCTGTCGCTGACCGCGCGACTTCGGTCACAGGCATCACGGCTGTGCTCGGTCGCCGTAATGCCAGCAAGTCGGCCCATCATCCATGCCAGAAGAGGGCATGAAACACGGTAGGGTGATACCAGTCTCGCTTTCGAAGTGTCGGGAGGCCATCCGATCTTGCAGGAAGGGAGAAGACACGGACCAAACAGCGTCACACATTTTGTGGGGGCAAACTTATCGATAACACTAGCGTGCACTACGCAAGTCAGGAGCAAGCATCACAACACGACGATAACGCTTGCAACATCTGCGGGGGTCGACAATGCATGCGACAACGGATATGATCCCGTATCGACAGTCTGGTGAGACTTTGGTCAGTGGCGTCGTGTCATGTATAGACTGGACACTCACGTCGCACGACTGCACCTGTACTTCTAGGGTGTCATGACATACCGTGACGCCCCAATTTGTTTATCCTTGCACTCTTGCTTCACATCCTTCTTAGCATGTTCTTGTTTACGCGCTTGTCTTGTAATAATCTAATTATAATAACTTTAATAGTACTTTAAGTAGTTAGGTATATAATAACTATAATTTACTAATAACTAAGTTTAAGCTAGTATATCTTTATATATATCTATAGTATAGTAATAAGTTTTTAAAATAACTCTAAAATAAGATAGCTTATACTATAAAACTATAGTTAAGGTTTAAGTATATAAAGTACTATTATTATTTTTTATTATAATATACTATCTTTATCTAAACTTTTTATTAATATATCTACTTAGCTTAAAATTCTAGTTTTAGTTCTTAACTAAAAGTAAGTACGCTTATTACTACTACTAAAATAGTACTCTAGTAGCTAGTTACTAAAAGTAATAGAGATAATTATAAGAACTAAAGTACTTATTAGAAAATATAATAATACTAAAGTATAAAATAATAGCTAGATAATTAAGCTAGTTAAGTTATATTACTAGAAAGTTAGCTTAAGTAATATAAGTAATAATAACGCTTAGAGCGCTGCTAATAGTATATAGTAATTAACTATAATAAAGTTAACTTTATTTAGCTAGAAATTAATGCTTTAGACTAGCTACTTATAAAGTATATTAATAGTACTTTTAGCTAATATAAGATAGAGTAGCTTAGGCGTACGTATATAAAGAAAATTAGTATTAGTAATACTATTATTACTAAATATAGTAAGCACTTTAATTTACCTAAATAGGCGTAGTTTAAAGTAGTAAGTATAGGTTAGTAGAAATAATAGAATGCTAAAGTAGAATTATAGGAGAAAACCTGCTTAGAGACTAGCGTCTTAGCAATAAAATTACGTTAAAACATTAGAAACATTAGAGCATCCTTCTCAGCTTCATCACCATGGATATTTCTAAAAGCGACGCTATAGCTATCATCGGGGGAGGCGCGTTTGGTCTCTCCACGGCTCTTGAGCTCTCCAGGAAAGGCTACACCAACATCACGGTCTTCGAGAAAGATGACGAGATCCCATCCCGATGGTCTGCTAGCAACGACCTGAACAAGATCATGCGAGCGGAATACGAAGACGATTTCTATACAGATCTGGCTGTGGTATGTAGCTGTCTTCACCCTGAGCAATGCTATGAGGAGCAGATCGTTCGAGCAATGACTGATATACCAAAAGGAAGCCACCCACGCCTGGCAAACACCCCTCTACGCGCCTTACTTCCACCGAGTTGGCTATCTTAATGTCGTTTCTAGTGCTGCATCCCAAAAAGCAGTGGGAACGCTGCACCGGTTCCAGGCGGCTGCCGAGAAGCACCCGGAGATGAAGCCTTTCTTTCATCCCATATCGGGCCCCCAAGACGTACGTGATGTAGCTGGAGCTTGGCAGTTCACCGGTGACATGCCCGGCTGGAAGGGATACGTGTCCAAGTACGACGGCTATGTGCACTCAGCTGATGCGCTGAGAGGGATTTATCGCGAGGCCAGGAAGAATGGCGTTAGATTCTTCTTGGGTGAGAAAGTCGGTGCGATAGAGAAGATCGTATATGAGGGATCGGGCAAGAGCAGAAAGAGCATCGGTGTTCGAACGAAGGCCGCGCAATTTCATGCTGCTAAGTTAGTCATCGTCGCCGTTGGTGCCGCAGCTCACAAGATTGTCCCTGAGATCGGTGCCGAAGTGTCC